AAGGGATGGGGCTGGAGATGAGTGATGGGGTTGGTGGTAGAGGATGAGGTTGGAGATGTGGGATGGGGTTGGTGGTAGAGGATGGGGTTGGAGGTGTGGGACAGGGCTGGTGGTAGAGAATGGGGTTAGAGGTGTGGGAGGGAGATGACCTGGGGCAGAGGAGGTGGTGCGGGATGTAGGAGCCACATTTGTCCCCTCCTTTTCCCCAGATCTGGCTGACGTTCTTTGAGGGACGCTACCTCATCTTGCTCATGGGGGCCTTCTCCATCTACACTGGCTTCATCTACAATGAATGCTTCAGCAAAGCCACTGTCATCTTCCCCTCTGCCTGGAGTGTGGCTGCCATGGCCAACCACTCCTCCTGGAGGGGAGATCCCATCCATCTGTGAATGCCTCTCCCAGGTCCCTGCCTGCACTGACACCCTCTTGCTCTGCCCACAGCTCTGACTACCTTGCCACCCACCCGTCCCTCACCCTGGACCCCAATGTCACCGGTGTCTTCCAAGGGCCCTATCCTTTTGGGATCGACCCAGTGAGTGTCCTGTGAGGGAGAGGATGGGGTTGGACCCTTGATGGGGTGGCCCAGAGCCTCACCCACCTTGTCCATGATAGATCTGGAGCTTGGCCACCAACCACCTCAACTTCCTCAACTCCTTCAAGATGAAGATGTCGGTGGTGCTGGGTGTCGTGCACATGGGCTTTGGCGTGTTGCTGGGGGTCTTCAACCATGTGTGAGTCGCCGTGGCTGCGCCCGTGGGCTCTGGCCACCCACGGTCATGCTCTAAGGGGACCGGAGCTGGACTTACTTGGGTGGATGGGGTGGGTGAGCAGAGTCCCGTACCTCTTCCTCCAGGTGGGATGCCAGGATGTGTGGGGACGTGCCATGCCAGGCTGAGCCCGGCTGATGTCCCCCCTGTCCAGGCACTTCCAGCAATGGCACCGGTTGGTGCTGGAGCTCCTTCCCCAGATGATTTTCCTCCTGGCGCTCTTTGGCTACCTCGTCTTCCTCATCTTCTACAAGTGGATCAAGTTCAGTGCTGCTGACTCCCGGGTGGCTCCCAGCATCCTCATCCACTTCATCGACATGTTCCTCTTCACCTCCAATGCCGACAACCTCCCACTCTACCGGGGGCAGGTAGAACATCCACCCGGGGACCCTTCCCTTTGTCCAGGCTGGGAGCAGTGGTGACGGGGTCCCCGGTGCCAGAGAGGACCCTGAAACGTTGTTCCCGTGACTCAGGTGCCGGTGCAGACCGTGTTGGTGGTGCTGGCGCTGGCGTCAGTGCCCGTCCTGCTCCTGGGGACGCCACTCTAAACGCACGCTGAGGACGGGCGGCCCCACGGTAAGGCTGGGGTCGTGGCGGCGGCAGTGGCGGTGGTGGGGAGCTCAGCTGGGCGGGCACAGTGGGGTCTCACTGTCGGTGCTGTCTTCATGCAGCCAG